GTAAAGCTGAGAAAAGTTGAAGAACTTTGTCTTGCTTAGGAGCTGAGATATTTGGTCATCTGTCTACTTTTGATATTGATACGAAACCATAATTGATTTTTGGTCTGGCGTGGCTTTTGTGAGTATGATTATATTCCCTTTATAGATTATTTCCCTTTTGATCAAACACAGAACAAATGTTTCTTCTGTGTAATTCACCAGAAATATTCATTCTTTATATGAAACATTTCCTCTGTTCAAGAGATTAAACTAGTCATTACTCTCATTCCAGGATCTGCAAGATCATCAATCAAATTCCTCTTCTTCTTCAAAGTGCAAAACTTTCTTGGTACAATGAGATTCTTTCTTTTTTTTTTTTATCAAGATTCTGGTTCATCTTTTGGGGCATTTTTTTTCTTGTTTTAATGAGAATCATTAAGTAACAATTAGAGAATATTATGTATGTGTCTTGCAGAAAACATGGTTGAAAGAAGCCGTAGCTTTAAAATACCGGGAGCTGAGACAACTGATCTACGAATCGCTCTTTATGAGCGCAAAGAAGTCATCGAAAGGCTCCAAGAAGAGTTGAATGCAGAGAGAGAAGCATCTGCAACATCAGCGAGCGAGGCCTTGTCAATGATTATTAGACTGCAAGGAGAGAAAGCTGAGCTATCTATGGAAGCTGGTCAGTACAAGAGAATGGTTGAAGAGCAAATGTCTCACGCCGAGATGTCTTTCGCGCTTTTGCAGGATATCATTTACCAGAAAGAGCTTGAAATCACTGCTCTTGAGTATCAAGTTGAAGCTTGTAAAAGCCAGCTTTTGAGTTTGGGGTATAGTGATTTCACTAGCTTAGATCTTAAGCTTCAAGAGAATGATGATGAAAATGATTTGCCATTGTGTGATAGATCTCAAACACCGTCTCCAGATCTTTCGGTACCCGAGGAGAAGGAAGTTATTGAGCAGAGTTTGGAATCACAAAAGAGTTCCTTAGATGTGTATTGGGAGCAGATCAAGAAACTAGATGAACAAGTGAGAGAGCTTACAGATTTTAGAGATTCAATTAAATACAAGACTTCATTGTCTGAATCTGGATTAAACAATGGAGTAGAAGGTGTTGCAAGCTCATCGAACTTTCAAGAAGATACACAAGAAAGTAAAGAGGAAGCAAAGGGTTTGAGTAAAACTCATGATGACACTCTTGTGATAAAAGTTGCAAAGCAGACAAAGATGGAAAAGAAATCATCTAAACAGACAAGAGACAGAAGCGGTAAGAGAAACCGCGCAGAGTATCAAGCTGAATTGCAGCGGTTGAGACAGAGAGTAGAGCGGCTTGAGCGGGAAAGAAGTAAGAAAGAGCCTGAAACTAGTGGAGTGGTTAAGCAAGAGGAGATTAGTCT